AAACAATCCTATGATAGAATATCAGATTTCAATTAATATTCGATTTATAATCGATTTCCCGCTGATAGATTGGATTTCTAATTCAGCATTTTTCTACGGAATCAATTTAAGTTGTCACATAATTTATAAATTAAAAATATCGCATTCAAATCTCAAAGATTTATTGCCGGATTTCCTTAAGAGATATTATCAGAAATCGAATCCATTTTGAAATTAGATTATATAATTAGTGGTTCGAAGTCCTCTCATTATCTCTGCCGTGCCATTATCAAATATCTCCCAATGCAAGAGCACGAAACAATAGACCAGAAGATCAAGAAGCGTAGCGCGAATACTAAACCTCCTTTATCTTTCGGACCCATTGAATTAGATAAGAACTGATCTCTACGACTTATTGGGTCGCCAGGCCTTCAACAAAATAAGGACATATAATTTTATAATATTAAAGATTGCCTATAATCAATAATCTCACTGCAAATATTCGATTGAGAAGATAAGATAAAATATTTATATACATATTTACTAACTCGGAGTTGTATAATTCCCAATGAAATCAATCATCACGACGTCTCAAGGTGCTGAGAACGAAAATCTGATCAGACTCCTTATCCAATATCCAGATTGCCTTGAATATCACGCCATCGCATGCCCAAATATTAAATCTTGTTTAAGATATTTTGAAATATCGATTAAAAGAAAGATATAATATATTATAATATTGAATAAAGCTCTTTCAAATTTTATAAATATATAAATATATATTTTTTTAGGAATTTATCTTTTAACTCAGAGCCTAAAATCTAAACCCGAAAACCCTAAAATCCTGAAGCCCTAGCCCTAAATCCTAAAACCCATATCTTAAATTTGTTTAGACCAGTGTGCGGAAGCAGGGTTTGCACGGTACGGAGATTAAGGTTTCGCAAACCCCACCGTAAAGGATCCCAACATGCTGGAACCACATTTTTCCGTACCATATATATATATATATATATATATATATGTATGTGTGTGTGTGTGTATCGTGAAAACTTTCAAATTGCTACCGATAACTTTTTGTACACAAAGCTTTCTGAGATTCGATGTAATGCCTCGTATCTTGACATATCCTACCTAATTCTATCTTCGTTCGATATCTAACCGGTTTGTCAATATGAGAAGCACGCATTTTCTGCACCAGCAAAGAAGATGGCAATGAGGAACCAGAATTCAGAATCTGCCGCGAACTGCTGAAACAAGCCGGCCCTCGTTCCACCCAAGGGTCGTGCCTGAAACGACGCACAGCAGGCCCAAATTAAGTTCGCGGATCCAAGCTCCGACTTCAAACGTCGATGGGATGTAGCTGTCTTGTCCCGGGCTGTCAAAACGAAGGAAACAGCTCCAAGATTGCACGCTACTGGCAGTCTGGACTACGTTGTCCACCATGCCCGGGGTCATGCCACATCGAAAATTTCATCTAGGTCGCACGTGTACTCCTCCAATTGAGCGGCGACTCCTCGTCTTGCAATGATGTAACTTGCATGTTTGCTGAGGCTGAGGGCATGTGGAGAAGGTGCTCGCCGGCGCATCGAAGTCTACAGCTTCTCATCTCAATGCAAGGGTGCCCGCTTGGTTGCGGAAGGCCATCATGTCCTCCCACAGAACAGTCAGAAGCATGCGGACACGCGCGGGCCCTCATCCTTTGCGCTGGGGCTGGACTTCAAGCCAGTGCAAATCTTCCATTGCGCAGGCCAGCAGATAAACGTGTCCACGGCGCCTTCTTCTTCTGCAGGTAAGCGGAAGCTCTGTCTTCGTACGCATCCTGGCATGTTCGGAGGTATCATGATCGCATGGCACGCAGCCGAAGGATGAAAGGACCTCAGCACGGCTGCCACCCGTGACATCCAGCGCTTTGAGCACCACGAAACATGCCACGAAGACATCTATCAGCACGAAAGGAGCTGGGCCTTCTGCCTCGGCTCAAACACGCGAAGGCTAGGATGGCAGCTATGGAAATCCCAAGAATTGTTCGGACGTGGGTTGCGCAAAAGTCGGGGTCGGGAAGTGCATATCATGGTGAAGGTTGTCGAATATTGCTGCTCGCTTTTCCGATCTTGGCCGTTCTGGCTTCTGGGCCATGCCCGCCTGATGGGAGGACATGCCAGAGCCACTTGTGTGCCTGTGTAGATCTTGGCTTCAAACTCCTGGTTCTCGGGCTATTGTGGCGTTTCTGCTGTGTGACTAGTCACCACCTGCCCCAATCTGTAAGGAGGGGCGCGTAGCCCCTGGAGCGCGGAGCGAATGTCTAGCACGACATCTACTAGCTCAAATGCCAGTGTGAAGATGCTCTGGGGCACCGGCTCGAACATTAATCTTTCCCATGATGCCGTTGAGAGCCTCCTGGGCCTTTTTAAAGCCGGACATTGCCTTTCACGGCGGGAAGGCTCAGAGCTATGCCCTCGAAACACAGCCCAGCCCGGCAAGCATATAGCAGAAGGATTTTTTCATCTCGCAGAGTCTGGTGTCGGGATGCCATGAGCACTCGCCCACATGTCGGCACTGTACGTTGAAGACAGACAGACTCTGGTGAGGGCTCCTTCTTCCTGAAACCGAACGGACTTCAGGAAAGCTTTCCCTCAATCCAAAAGATCGTCCAGCTGAGGCTTCTGACAAGCGTCAGCACGTGAACGCGATGTCGCTTCCTTCTTAAACTTCGTCCAAGAACAGCCAACTGCCGTAAGCGTCTCGAATGTGTGGAGAAGTCTATGAGACATAATCCAACAAGGTGGCTTTCAACTTTTAGTCATGTCTTCTTCTGTTGCACCTCTCCGGCACAGCGAACTCCTCGGGCCCCAAGAATGCCAACTCTGTGGAAGTGCCGAACCAACTGCAGGAAACACAATACCAAGACAAAATCATGCGAAGGTGTGCCCAAGCTGCCGGTGTGATGTGCGGAACCATCGGCTGTAAGGTGGCTGCGTGCACAGATCCTATAGCGGTAGCCTGCATGTGCAGCAAATGGGGTCTGGCACTACGTCCACCGGTGTAGGCGCGGCAACTCCGGAATCCAAGTGGCAATAGGACTTGTGGCACATGAAAGAGCCACCTTTCTTGATCTTCTCCTTGTGGTTTCACATCTTTCGGTTCTACTGTCTAAGAAAACCAAGCTGCACCGGCTAGATGCAATCCGGCAGCATATTGTCCAGAAGAGTCCTTTTTCAGATAGCCCATGTCAACTATCTCGTCTAATTCTTCGATTTCCTCAGCTGCGAGGAGTCTCTCGGCCCATGGATCTGAAAGCGATTTTTCTTGCAGGCAAGAGGCCGGTCCCGTGGGGTCCACCAAACCCGTGTCCTTGTTCTTGTCGGTCAGGAAATGAACGGGGCTGTACCAATCTCCGGTCCACTCCCATACATTGCCCACCATATTGTATAAGCCCCAATCCTGAATTTGCACGGCTGGGACTACACGCACGTAAGTCCTGATCAACACGATGGCTCCCAGCATGCTGGGAGTAGACGATTGTGGAAGCCTTCTCGTGGCCAATGAGCAGATTTCTGCGCCGCAGTGTTGTATGCTAGCGTCGACCGTTGACGGTTGTTGCAGATGGCTCCAGATGTGCATGTGTGGAAAAGGAAAAGTGCTTCCGAACAGGATGACAGCACACTGATCTTCGCGGTGAGTGTGGGTCCTGTCCCCCATGTCCTCTGCAGGCACGAAGTCCTGGTGGCTCTAGCTTCGTCAGCCGGCGTCACAGCACAATCTGGTGGCCCGCTGCAACTGCCGTGTAAAGTGCTGGGTTTGTATGCACCTGTCGCAACTCCTGGCTGTGCAAGATTGTGGTGCTGAAAACAGTGTTGTGCTCTGTCAGTTTTTGGTTGGACCTTTTCGGCCTTGGTTGAGTAAGCCCGCGCAGAGGTTGGCCCTTTCGGCTCAAACTCAGCTATGTCATCCAGCAACGGTCACGCCGTTGCTGTCTTCTTTATGCTCACCGCAGCGTGTGGTGTTGCCTTTTGTGGTGTGTACACGATTGTACGAATTGTCCACCGTGCTTCCACTGTCTGGAATGCAAGCGCGAGGCATTCTGCGGACCGTAGGCATCGACCGGCGCGGTCTTCTGGTATCCTTGACACAGCTAGGCCAGGGCACAAGGTAGCTGTTGCTGTCAGGATCTGAGCCTGTGGCCGTCTTTGGCTGTGTTCTCCTTTGGGAACGCTCCTTGCCAGATGTTCATCCGGTGCCGGCGCGGCATCCCCTCCGTTTCGTTCCCATACCTTGGACTCAGGATGACACGTTTTGGATCCAGGCTCTGCACTTGCATGCTACTTTAATCGAAGGTGCGTTGTGTCGCCCCAAGGGTATAGCTTGCCCTCAAGGCCGCCTCTCGCTGCATACTCCCACTGTGCCTGAAACTGAAATCGAATGGGATGCCCGACACTTCAATAGGACGACTAGAGCCCTTTCCCATCCAGGCAATATGAAATACGACAGGACGGCAGGTTAGCAAGTCAACCATAACATGCGGGTTGACAGTACTTTGGGAGTTTCAGGTGTATCCAGGTGTCCACTCATGGGACAAACAAACAGACAAACAGAGGGAAAGGCGGGCCGCAGGCAGCCAGCCAGACAGAGAGTAGTCAAACTCATGCGAATCCTGCTACTGATGCTTGCCCTGAAACACCCACCCAGCGAGGACACGTGCCCCGCTCCCAGCAGCCACAACAATCGGAGATGCACTGCTGAGGGCAACTGGATTCAGCCTGGCCTCTGTAGGCAGGGAGGCATTTCTCCATCTACAATATGCCTCCGCATCGTTCCTTTCCAACGCGCGCCGACCGACAAAACAACACCAGAAAAGCCGAAACAGACAGCACATGCTTGTGCGCCACGTCCAAGTATCCATGAGATATGTACAACAGGATGATTCCACCGATCTCCATATCTGCTGCTCGCTCCGCTCAGCGCGCTGTCCTTGGTAAATCCAACCGTGGGACAACACAGAGCAACACCCAGCCAAAGCAACAGAGATACTCTGAAACCCCTTGCTTGCCGGAGATCAATGCCCTCCGGCTGATGCCACGAAGCATTCGGCACAGGCAGCCACCAAGGCACTGCGTCTACCTTTTTGTGGATGGTCTTGTTGACGGCTTCTGAAAGGTAGGTCTCTGCTACAAACGAGTCGCCCAAACGCTCGGCGTCCGTGAGGTAACCCGTTTCTCTCGCAAAATCCTGCCATTTCTCATTGCTTACTTCGAAGCGGTCCATCCAGAAGCTGGACATTTGCACTGGCCGTACAGGGCCTTCACCGTCCTACGGGAGGTGGCAGCAGGAATGCACAAAGTGAAGGTCTTACTCTTACCGCGGGCACGCCCGGCCTGTGGGAAGTGAACTCTGTCTTTCCGCTCGCCCATATGAAAGCGACCCGCAGGAATGCTCACCATGTCTTCGTTGTGCCTTCGACAGGCTGACCAAACTCCTATGTCATATGTGGAATCGTTATCTCTCTCTTCCATGCCTCTTCGCCGAGTCCGACAGGCCCTCGAACCTGAAATAATTTTCTGACTTCTTGCATGCAGTGGCCGCAGGCCGCATGCTGCTTTGCACATCTGACGGCCATGGCCTCACGGGCTGACTGTGCTCGCCTTTTGTTGAAGCGCCACGGCTAAGGGAGCTGCATCCGCAGTCCTAGCATCAGAGCATGTCGGATGGCACGTTCTTGAAACCATTCTATCTCCAAAAGGCCTGGCGAAAGGTCCAAAGCAAGCCCCAGCTTATCATGTCTGGCTCCTGGGTGCCATCCGCCATAGCTGCGGCCTTGCACCGTCAAGCAAGCATCTCTACAGCCCAACCCGGTGCACTTATCTGCACATGCCTCGGTCGGCTCGTCTTGGCCGTTCTGATTCTGTGCGCACGTCTCTTCGGCATGAACCAGAAAGCCTGTCATCCACCAGAGACTTTGCGTTGAAACGGTCCAGGCTTTCTTTCGCGAGGGTAGAAGGAGAGGGAGCGACCCTCTCCTCCAGCACGCCAGGTAGGTGAGACGCAGCAGCGGCAAACCGAGTGCTTTAGGCTTTGCTTTGCTTTGCTCTGGGCCGTGGGAGACAGGCAGTCCCTCCCTCCCGCTCCGGGGAGCGGCCCCATCCCGTCATTTTGACAGGGTGGGCTTGGCTGTACTCAAGGTTTTGCAGGTGTCGAGTGCCCCTAGTAGTCTGCCAACAAACAAGAAACCACACACTCGTGAAAGTATCAGACCAAACAAGGTGCCCATGCAAAACAGTGCTTGAGGCTCTTTCTCTCTCTCTCTCTCTCTCCCGCTCTCGGGGCCGGCTGCGCCTCTGACACAGAGAGCGCCAAGCCAGATGCAGCGCTGCATGGCTAAACGCTGGTAAGGGTGCCGGCAGAAGCTTTCCACATATGCATGCAGGTCAGCTCTCATGGAGTAACTGTCCGTGCGCATGCAACCCTAACCCTCTAGCACAACACAATCTACTTCAACCGCTTGCTTGGTAGACCTAATGAGGCATTAAAACCTGCGGGCCAGCACAGCAGGTTGGAGTTGTTGCCAGGGAGTAGCGAAAAAAAGCAAAAGGCAGCCTGGCGCACGGTCTCCCGCCTCAGGCCACTTGTTCCCACCAACGGCATCGCTCATGTCGATACAAGCCTGCACTCAATGAACGCCGATTTTCCAAATGCTCACTCTGCCCCATGTTTGCTACACTCTCTCAAGCTGCTGCGTATGCTTGGAAACCTGCCTTCTGGAAATCTCTAATGTCGTTTGTCCAGCCATCTTCGTCTGCCTCCACATTGGCACTCGCCAACCTGGGCCGAGATTGACCCATCCAGTAAGTTACCTCCGACCGACACATCGACTAGCAGGAGCCTGCGGTCGCAGAGACTGCAGTCGTGTGGCATCGAGCTTAGACAGCTGGGGCATCGGTAATTACACAAGGTTGTCCAGGTTTGGTTGCCCTGCTGTGACACAGTCTGTCGACGGATTATCAAGCCTGTGGCATGTCCTTGTGGCCTTCTGCATGGCCACGATTTCACCATCCCTACACAGATTAAAGCTGACCAGAAGACCACCTCACGATGCAAAGCTGCATTACAAATTACAAACCATCTCGCTCCACGTCGCAACTTCGGGAAATCTGAGCACACGGCTGGTTCATTGGGAAGGTAATTTCCGAATCAAGAGGTGACCTCGACTCTGGAACTTGCAAAGCTTCAAATGATCACTTTCCAGCAGGGGGTGGATGCGAGTCTGGAGCCACCTTGGTTCCAAGCACATAGGCGCCTTCCGCGCCAGAACCCAACGCCTTGCGGCACAGGGAGGGGTCCTGGCACTGTGGCTGACAACTTGGATCCTGAGCGAGAAAACATGCCACGTTCCCGCGTGCAACGCCCATCTTTTTTCTGGGAGCTCTCATGTTGGCGTTCGGAGGCGCAGATTGCGAAGCAGTGCCTTTGCTTCGTCCTCACCGACACGCAACACAAGCCCCGCTGGCATGATGTAGGTTCAAACATGCCAGGTCTCCAGATGACACTTTTCTAGCGCTTCACACGACGCCCCTTTGTGCAACCGGGCCTTCTCAGAGCCCGTAGTGTCGAGTAGCTGCGTTGCACAGGCCTCTGCCTCTGCCAAACGGCCCTCCTGGCAAAATGGAGCACGCAAGCAAAGGAGCCGCTGCTGCATCTAATCCGAGCATGTTCCTCTGCAAAGAAGTTCATCAGAAAGCGCAGTGCTTCCTCACAACGAAGCAGAAACTCTGTGTCCGACTTCTGAGTAGGAGCACAAACGGACTGGCATGCCATGAGAGAGCGCATGATAGATGCTTGGCAAGCCACCACACTCTCGCTTGCCAGCCCCCCTTGCAGGGCACCCGCCAGGGGCCGCCGCACGGAGGCGATGCTCTCCAAACCGGACGGGTCGGGGCGTACACCTCCCAGCGAGTGAGAAGCGAGACACAGGACGACTTCCTTCGCAAATGGCGCTTTGCCTGAAGCACTGCTTACTATTCTGGAATGTCCGCTCTGCTCCAGCATCTGGCCGTAGTAGGCGGCAGCTTGCCTGCGCACACATGTTTTGACCACGCAATCCCATGCAGCAGAGAACAGCTATCACGAAACGGCGGCAAGTACCCCTGTGTGTAACGGTGTAACGAGTGTAACGTCCGTGCCTGTGATCCCCATGGTCGCGATGCAGTCGTGCGAGGCGGGGTAGGGCCATCCGCTCCATGTCTCCGCAGCGGTGCGCCTCGGTTGCGTGTCCCCATTCGGATTCGCGTCACGGTGGGGGCCGGGGCCCTGAAACGCTACATTTTATGTGCAGGACAGCGCCTTCTCGTAGCACTTCAGTGCCTCACCGGCGACCCATGAGAAAACAGGAACCACTCCCTCGGCTCTAGCAGTTCCTGCCTCCACCTTTCTGTCCATGTGATCATAACCTGAGATCTGGATTTTGAGTCTAGAGGCCTAAAGGGCTGATCCCACTCCTGTTCGTCTGAGCAACACTGCGCCATGGCGCACCACATCCGCGCATCATCTGGCCGGAGGGACATCGCTTGTCCTAGCATTTGAAGTTTTGTTCGTTCCGTGCAATGCATCCCCACCCCCCACCAAAGATCAAGCATGACAGCACAAGCGGCGGTAGTAGAAAAGAGCGTAGAAGTGAAGGCCTCGGTCGCATGCCTCTCTTGCACGAAGTGCCGTGCCACCGCAAAGCTTTGCAAGGACAAGGGGCTCAACAGCTCGTATGTCTGCCCCAATCCGTACCTTTGTGCATTCTATCGCGTTCCGCTACAAAACTGACACACTGAAATCGGCATGGAGAACCCGAAATCACTCCGAAAACATCGCTTGTAGCAGCTGGCCAAGCTCTGTAGTCCCGCCGGTTGATTGTCACAGCTGTCCGGTAAGCATCAATTGCCTCAGAGTGACTAGAACCTCAAGCTAAGAGAACTGGATGAGGGAATTATAATCTAACCCGAGCACATGCGATTGCGCTCGCTTGTTCCTTGACCGCAATAGAATACACTAACCGGTATACTGAAAGCTCCAAGTTGCGGCGGCAGTGTTCTTCATCTCCATGAACTCATGGCCCATCCTGAAGCACCAGCTTTTCATGGCACCGGCATCTTGAATCCGGAACCCCGACAAAACAGCAGGTACTGATGCTTCAGCTGTTCCGATTTTGGTACACTGACCGTATTCCGAATCTGGAGCTATGTTATGCTGCCTCTTGCTGCAGAGGGTCAGAATCCATGCCGGAGTGAAATGGCGATTGAGCGCAAGAGCTCGCCGGAAGTAGATTACGGCCTTCACAATTCCCATGGCTTTGCATCTGAATGGCAAGAATCTGGCCCAAAACCTCCACTGGTAGACACACTGTCACTTGATGAACGGAGGTCAGCGCGGCCTTCTCATGCTCACCCTTCAGGCTGTAATAATTTCCGATGATAATGCAGGCTTCAGGCGTGTATTTGTCTATCCTTGGCACAATGGCCACAGCACTGCCAACTGCACACTCGAACAACTGAAAATTGTCAGCACATGTCAGCACTGAAGTCGTGACAAGACGCTTGACGGCCTGGCGCGCGAGATGGCTCAGTGCTGCTGCCTGCTCCTGCAGCTTGGGCGCAGGCCGCTTGAAGAAAATCAGCTGGGACATGTTAGGACAACAAATCCGAAACCAGCCGGGGCATTCTACCAAAGTTTTGTGTATGATTCGGCTCGGCCCCGTCGCACAGACAGCAACTCGTGCTTGCAAGACTGACGCCTTCAAGGTCGTCCTGCTGTCGTTGTCTGCGTTCGGAGTTGAGATCTCAGAACTTTGGACTGCCACGCGCAGTGGAAGCTCGGACAGCGCCCGGGGCAGCTGCACCTAAACAACTTCGCTGGACGAGCACGCGGAGCATGCATTAAGCAGTGGCTCCAGCAGTTGTGGGCAGCGTTGCTCTCAAGACCTCTGTCGGTCAGCCTTGCAGACTTTGCATGCCCAGTCGAGAAACACAGCCCAGGAAAGGATTCAGACTCAGCAGGTTCCGACTGAACCTGCTGCCATCACGAAGTCGTTGTTTATCCGGGAATATGCAACGCGCAGAGGGTGATGTTTGATGTTGGGTGTTTGGCCATCGGACGGACATCTCTGAGGTCTCTTCAGATCTAGAAGTCGAAGCACAAAAGAAATCGCAAAGCGACCACAGTCTGACGGCAAGAAAACTGCCAAACAACAATGCCATGCAGCACGCGGAGCCGTTTATGCAGACAAAAGCAGACTACTGGCGAGGAGCTTGGCACCAAGACTTTCAAGTATCAGGGGTGAGGAGGGGCGACTCTAGCCAGGAAAGCTGTCAAGTCTGGAAGAACAGCGGCTGTCCTTCACGAAGAGGATGTTCGAGTATGTATCCAGAGACCTGGCAGCGGAGCGGGCAGCGACTTCGAAGAGAAGTCGATCCTCTCTCTGTGCAGTCAGGCAACGAGAGCCGATAAGGATCTCGTCGCCGGAGCTCTTCGAAAGCCAGCTGCGAGGCGTCGAAGTTCCTCAGGAACTTCCCGAATTACACGTCATCGTCGGCGCTGGTGCAACATCCGATAGATGTGTGGCCCAACAATTAAGCCCCGAGTCCGAAGGTTGTAGAAGCAGGTTGCTATCTGCGAGGCGATGTAGGCAGACTCAGGGAAAGAAGCCCGGAGTGCAACGTAAAGGTCTTTTGCACTGTCGTTCCTCTGAAGCTCCTTGGCGAAAGGTAAATGAAACGTAGAAGGTTCGGCAAGCCATCATCAATTCATTGACATGAGACACCAAACGACAGTGCGCTTTTTAGCGTCACGAGGCCAGCTGCAGCGCCGCCTCGAAGAACAAGGACATCCAATGGGGCGGTAGCCTGTTAGCAGCTACTGGTACCAGCCTCAAACACAGAAGATACGCAAAATTGCGCAGCAGAGTCTGCTGACGTCCACCTCAAATCCTCGCATCGACCTGTGACGTCGTCTAAGTCTGCAGAGATACCTTGGGACTCACAGGCGAACGAACGATGTTGAAAGTACGACTGTCTTCGAACTCATTTCCTCGCTGTCGCCATAGCAGAGTGGCTGATGATGTCCAACCACGCCGACCAATTGCAGGGAAAAGCGTGGACAGACTCCAGAAGAACCTCAACGCTGGTCCGCGGACTGCCCAACTGCCCAGCATCACTCAGTAGTGCACGGAAACCGGTTACATGCAAAAGTGTCAGACCAAGCGAAACCCACTGCAAACAGAGAATGGAAAGCTTCGCGACTCGTCGCGCATCCTCTTTCAGCTCCTGAGTTTGCAAGCTGCCTTTCTCATCCCGAAGCTAGCTCTGCTACGCCGAGAACCGGTCTGCAATCTGCGAGCCGAGACACCAAGCCTTTCAGTACGATGCCATATACATAGAGGCCTCTGGAGCTGGGCTCGTATGGCAAGGCTCTTCCCAACAATTCATGGGCTGGTGGTCTCCAAAGCTGCCAGGCAGCCCAGACCATCCAGCTTCTGTTCTCGGTAGAGCGCAGAAAGATCTTCTTCCAGCGTCTTCCTCGGTTGGTATCGGAGGCTGATTCCTCGTGCGTTTGGAATGGCTGAAAGAACGACGAGCTGCAGCTCGGTGTTGTGGATGCGGCTCGCCTCTGCTGGGTCTGTCACCTGCTGACCACAGCAGGGAGATTCAGTGTGGTGCTTGAAACTTTGAGGAAGCGGCCGTACAGTCATGCAATCTATCCTTGTCTTTGCAATGAGCCTCAAATATCTTGCCGTTGTCGCCTTGTACTACGCCTTCTCCTTCCACTTCCTCTTCTTATCATCAAGCATCTCTCTTGCTCTGTGGCCTTTTTCATTTAAGAAGCTTGCAGCAGGTCCACACCCTCACGAGTTTCACCAAGGAAGAGCCGTGCAACTTGACCAGATCTCCAAAACCAGGCGGAGTCCGGCTTGTCTTTCCGAGCGGACCCCTTGTTTGTGCTAGCGAGCTTGAACTGTTGAAGCAGCCTTCCACTGCAGAAGACGTTGGCACAAGCACAGCGGCATTCAACGCAAAAGTTGGCATCTGCCACAGCAGTGCCATGAAATGGCTGAAAAATGTCCAAAACAATCTGAGACCACGATCAGCTTGCGCACAGGCACCCATGCAGTGTTCGTAGGTATTCATGAGTTGGCGGAGTGCAGCAGAGTTCAGCTGAATGTGCCAGCATGTGTACATATATATATATATATACACATAGATATATAGATATACAGATATATAGACATACAGATAAAAATCTATATATATATATAGAGAGAGAGAGAGAGAGAGAGAGAGAGAGAGACAGAGAGAGAGAGAGAGAGAGAGATATATATATATATATATGGTTAAGCGTCTGGCGTTACCAGCCCCCCCCCCACCTCCCCCAGGTATGGTCTGGAAGGGTGGGGGGGGTTGGCGCGTGCGGAGAGCGATTGATTGTGGGGTTGGTGCTGGGGCGCCAGGCGTTACACGCAAGCCCTACGCTAGCCATAAACCCCATATCATAAGATAGCGCATGCTCCTGTTTTTAACCTTAACCTGTACTGTAAGCCCTACACTCAACCCAACCCTAAACCGCGCCTAAATGCAAGCTCTGAGCCTACAGCAGAACATGAACCGTCAACCCTAACGAACCAAGCCTTGTCGTTCGAAGCCTGATACCTTTTAGCAGGAAACCCAAAACTCAAAAACTTAAGCTAAACCCCAAATCCCAAAACAACACAACCACCCCACGGGGGGAAGAGAGACCCCACCCCACACCACAGGGGAGGGGGGGGCCCACCTGTATCCAGACCATTGAGCTTTGGGGGGGAGGGGGGGCCGTGGAGCGCGTGACCATATACATACTAGCTTGAGCCCCCGAGGTCTCCTTGAAGCAGGACGCTCTCTTGAAGAGGGTGCGAAAAAGCTTTGCTTCCAGCGGTGCGACAGTGACAACTTCAGAGCCAGTGCCGAATGCACCTTGTGTATCCATATGCCAGGATTCCGGTGCCTCTGCTGCATCTTCCTCTCGACGCTTCTCTCCCGCCAAGTAGAGAGCATAGGACCTGGCAAGATGCCACAGCAAGCCCACTCTCTTCCACTTCCTTTGTGGCTTTGCCGTTTTTCCTCAAAAGATTAAGGGAAGCAGTGCACTCCAGCCTGAAAAACACTGGCCACGGTGCGGAATGCAGCTCCTGGCTTTGAGCAGGACCTGAAAGCACCAAATGAACCCTGGCACTGTCTCTAGAGCTCCACGACCGCAAGGTCTTCGGCTCAATAGCACCCTGCTTTTGCCCTACACCGAAGCACAACATCAGCTCGATGCAGAGCTGGAAGGTCGACTCTCAAGAGAGATCTAAGGCAAGGGACTTCCCTGCAGAACGTGGGCAGCCCGAGAGTACTCACGCATGCCGAAGTGGGCCTGGTCGCAGGCCGATCCCACTCTACATATATATATATATATATATATATATATATATATACATATATATATACATATATATATATATATACATATATATATATATACATATATATATATACATATATATATATATGTATATATATATATATATACACAGACACATATAAACATACATATCAATCTATCTATCTATCTCTGTGTGTATGTATGTACATACATACACACATACACAAATTTGGCTGTGTGCGTGTATGTGTGTATATACTATACATGTATGTATGTATACATATATATATATATATATGTATGTATGTATGTATGTATGACCTTCGGTCAACTGTCCGCTCTTCTTTCCACTGACATCTTCGGCAAAATCCAAGGCCGCTAACTGGCACAAATCTGCATAAGCTGTTGACAGCTCTTCCAAGCCAGCGTTTTTGCTGCGAATGTCGTGTAGCAAGAGCGATCATAAACGGAAGAAGACTGGATGGATGAAGACCGCACATCGTTTTTCGAAAGCTTCGCGCAGGAATTCATCCCTTGAGAATTGCTGCGGAGTTGGTTCAGCGAGCAAAAATGTGCCCACCTGTGCTTGAATGTTGTCTAGTGAAGGCTAGACAGCCATCTCTCCATGCTACCCGGGTCTCCCAGAGGCCTTGGCAAGGAGCACTGGGCTGCAAAGAGATCGCGGCAGTGTCGGCGAGACCGACGAGGCCGAAGCGGGCGAAGCTTCGTCGGCGCCTGCTAATTCTTAGGGAGGTTCATAGCTAGCCCCTTGACGATTTCATTACCGTCAGACTCCTCCAAGTGGAAGCGCCGCCAGCAGCTCGGAGGCCCACCTCGGAAAACGCGTGTCGACGGCCTGGCCATTCCTCCCCTCTGGTCCCCCCCCGCCTCAGCAGTTGTACAGTCAGCAAATGAAGCCGGCACGAATCGCAGCCAAGGCGCTGGGTGCTGCTGTGGAGCTCTGCGAAGCTGAGACGCTGCACAGCCTCAAGCAGGCTCTGCGAAGCGCACGAAGCTGCTGCTTTTCAGACAACCAAAGCCAAAAAAAAGAAGTTCGCCTCGTGCAGCTCGGCCCGGAGTTCTGCCGCGTCAGGTAGCGTGGGCCGGGCGGGCTTGGCCGAGGGCTCTGCCATTGCAACATCCATGGACTCGGGGCTTTGCCAAGCTTGTTGCGGCTGTTATAAGCAGTCTTCGCAGATTTAATTTCGCCCCGGAAGGGGAGCAGGGGATGCTGGCACTTGTTGTGTCCAACAGTTCGGTCAACACCTGCTTGGGACTGCTCCATATCCGCAAGACAAGATCTGGAAGTCGGGCTCGTCCACTTCCTCTACTCTCGGCATTGACATCCACTTGATCGGCCCAGTGCATGAAAAATGCCAAGGGGGGGTAGTGGGTAGTGGGGTAGCCAGCTGGTCGATCACATGTACTGCTCATCATGTTGAGCCCTGGGCTGCAGAAGGCTTCGGTAACGCCCCGGTGCTTCAATCCCAGATGCAACTTCCACCACGACTGAAGCCAGCTTTAGACTCTGCATGACTCTGCTGCATCTCCTCTTTCTTGATTGCGGGGAGCAACTCAAAGTAGAACCAGTCGACGCCTCCAAACCGAGCGGACCGGGCAGGAAGAAGGCATACAACGTAACTCGGAGGATCTCTTGGCGCATGCCCCACCTCCTTGGATCTTGGGAGCGGCTCTCTCTAGATCCTGAGCCCCAATCAGATGAAAGCCGTGGGATTGCTGGCAGAGACCCTTCTTTGTCATGCACCGATGCCTTGACCACGGGTGGCGGGAGCGGATTGTCAACTTCGGCGTGCGCGAGCCTTCTCGCCAGGCAGTGTGCGCGAACTCCTCTTCTGCCCTACCCTGACGCGTGCCCTGGCACGACAAGAGCCGCCACCCAGCTGCGACGTCCAACCTGGAAACAATCCATCCGGCAAAAAGCATGTGGACGACCCGTGCTGTCTATGTAGACTGCAAAATTTGCCTCCTGCCGAGAAGGCACAGGCACCGACCTCGACGGTTCCAGCAATGCGCAACCTCAAATCTATGTCTAACGCTGCCCAGCCACAAGAAGCTCCTGCTGGCCTCTTGCACCTCAGCTACAACGACACTCTCACATTGGAGGCGCAACCAGCCTGCACGAAGATATACATGATCCCGGTTCGGCCGTTCCCCCCCCGCCATGGTTGGTACCCATTCAAACGCGCTGTTTTCTGGTTCTTCTCTCTGTCCTGTTCTTCCCTCGTTCTCACCCTCTCCAGTGGGGTGGTTGTTTCCCCCCTCCCTGTGGTGTGGTGTGGGTCTCCCCGCGGCAGCGCACTACGCGACCTTCCATTGTCACTGTTAGAGCTTGAAGGAATACGCTGTCATGCAAGTTTATCCGCCGTACGTGACGGCCAGTATATTCAAGGTCCAGCTACATCAATATAGGTCCCTAGGCAGGCCTGTGTGACTTGTCAGCCTTCTAACTAACATGAACGCAATTCGGATTCTCAATGGCTTCGCCGAGCTACAGCCGTCGCGGTGGCCAAGCCCCATACCAATGCCCCTGAGCTTAGTAGCTGCTAGCTTCAGCCGGTCATGTGCCACTCATGTGTCTATCGAAATTCCTCCTCCACACACGAACACACGTGCCTGCTGTGCAAGCTGTGGCGAGCCTTGGCAGGGCCGGGTCGGTGGCCACACAAGCGCCCTTTGCTACGAAAGCTATGGACATAGCTTGCGCGGGACCGAATGGATCGCAGGTGCGGTATGCTTCCCTTGCAGCACTTTTTGGCAAGCTCGTGAGCCAACACAGGCAGAGTTGCTACAGGTGTGCAACCTGAGTGGTTCAACAAAGTCGGCCTGAGATCTTCCGAGCCGGGAACCGAGGACGGCGCTTTGCCCGCCCCTCACCAACACCATTCTAGTGAATCTGGCTCGTTCGCTCGAGACAGAGCCAGTAGGCTCCACGAGTCGTCGGGTTGTAGTTCGGTTTACGTAAAGAGGCGCTGCCATGGAACATTCCAAGCAACCCGCTGCTGACGGAGAGTTCTTTTGAAGGCTTGTTCTTGCGTTTCCGGTGCCTCTCGTATCTTGTGCTGCAATTGCATGACACATCGTGTCTTGCGCTGGCCTCACACATTGGCGCGTGGGAACTGACTCTGTAGATGCCGCGAGCGAGACATAGGTGAATTCGGCGTCTGCTCTGCAAGTGCTTTGCACATGCCAGCGACGGGACCTACTATCTGCACAGCACGTGCCGCGGGAGACACCGGATCAACAGGACAATCGGCCAAAGACACTGCGAGACCATGACAACGGAGCTACGGAGCATCCCCGAACCCGTAGGTTGCAGTCAGACTTTGTCAAGCGAGGCATGCCGTTTCCTAGCTATAGTGATTGCACAACTGCATGGCATGGCGGCTTCTGCTTACCTGGCGTCCTCGAAAGCATGTAATGCCGCTCGACCCTGAGCAAATCTAGCTGGTGAACCAGCTAGCACAATAGCACAACTACGTTGCGAGGAAACGAGCGCATATGCTTTGATTGTGAACTTTGTGAAAACTGGTGCGGATCAGCAGCGCAACCCATAAGGCCGCACATGAAGCTTCCTTATAGCATGAAATGCTTCAATATGGCAACCGAAGCCACATCCAAAGCTACCCCACGAGGCATCTTTGGCCGCTTTGCTCTGCTTGTTTCTCTTCAGGCGGGCTCGTCGTGGAAGCCGTAACCGAACAAGTTCCGAAAAGCATTGAGGCCCAGCAGGTTGCCTTTGCAGCAGACAGGTATCCAATATTGAGGCTTGACACTTCATTACCACCGGGACTGAGAAGCTCCGGAAGCTTTCGTCCATGGGTTGCGTTGCCATCAAATTGCTGCTGCGTTGCTCAAGGCCGACTTCAGGACTGTCTTTAGCAAAAGAACCTTGGGAAGCTATCATCAGAGACACGCTCCGTCCACAGCCCAGCTCCCCGTGATCACCAAGTTGCTATCAGGAATTCCGGGCCCACCGGGCCCACCTGCCCGGTACATCAAAAAAGGCAAGCTCTCGTCACGTTCCCCGCACGGACCTCTTCAGAGAAGTCCTCATACCGCAGATCAGCCGTGGTAATGTTGGCCTCGCAGGCCATTCCGGAGCCAGCTTCTACACTTGTCTTAAGATCGCCCTCTTGCAGTGGCTGTCTCGAAACCATCAACATCGCTCCACGAGACTGCGCTCGTGCAATGCCCTTTCAATGTAATTACATATCGAGTCTGTGGAAGGTTCCCGCGAGCCCTCCGGCCATGGCAGCAACGAGCCCCTGCAGCCGCACGGCAATGTCCTGATGCACATCTGCACGGAAGCCCTCACCCCGGCTTCTCCACGACTGCTTGGCATCCACCGTCCTCAACCACGACGCGTCGAAACGTCAGCTTTGGTGGGTTGTCCCTTGGCTGAACGCAGACTCTTTGCGATTGGCTGCGGCCACATCAATGTCCAGAACAGCATAGTTCCGGAACCCCAATGATGAAACTGAGAGAATCCTTTTCAGCTCCTTGCTGGAAAGTTTCTTTTCAGGCTTGAGATTGTCCTTGACCTCCGCAATCTTGTTCAGAACATCGTTGACATTCCTAGTGACGCCAATGGCAATTCAGCAAACGAAGGCGGCGAGCATGCTGAGACCCAACTTCGAGTTCAAAACAGAAGTATAGACTGGCGAGGCATTGAACGATTTGAGACAGCACGCAGTTGCCCGTGCACCAGCTTGGGACTGCGTGGCTTGAGACTGGCCAGGTCATGCTGCCAGGTTCTTGCTTGGCTCTTGCGTCCGCATGCCGAACCCTGTTCTAAACCAACTTGCAAGTCATCTACATTACAAAAGCATCTCAACAGGACGCGGATTCCGAAAAATGAAGCAAAAGCGTCGTGTGCGCCTAAAGGCATGCATACATACATATATACGATTGGCTGCAAAAATACACGTACATATGCATAATATACATAATACAAGTATACATACACACATACATATACAAAAACAGGTACACGTACCGATACCTACGCATGCACACATATACAGCCCTACATGCACATGCACGTGCACAGATCTTCCTCCACTTATACCTTCCTCTCTATACTTGATTTCAGCTCCGTTCTTCGGCCACGATTTGCGGCCACGGCACGAGGAGTCAAATGTCTTCTCGTACATCAGCTCCACACCTCGGGAGGGAAAGTGACAGCCGCCGCAGCACATTGGGTACTCAAAGGCCCTGAAAGGTTCCCACGGTGAGCTGCAGTGATCGAGTTGTCGAACAGTTGTGGATGCGGCTGCTGTGGACGCAAAAACACTAGAAGCTTGACGAAGTGATGACCGGAAACTTGTACGATGTGAAAGTTGTCAAGCCAGGCCCGCCATGTGCGCTGGCTCCAATCAGCCAAGGGTCCAGAGATGTTTAGCTCCTGCACCGTGAGGTGTCGGAACTTGGACTTTGCGAAGTCGCGGAAGAGAACGTGACATCGAATCCCTGGGCCACCGGGGCAAGCTTTGCTTTGGAAAGTAGCATAAGACTTGCACAAAAGTGCATACCTCAATTTCATGCTTGCGTTGACAAGCTCCATACTACATCTCCATCAAAACAACATTTCATAAGCCAAGGTTCGCTTCGCAGTTAGCAGATAAGGAGATCGCCACTCGCGGTTCTGAGGGTTCTTAAGCTCGAGGCCGTCTATGCAGATGATGCCTTCATGGATATCCACCTGGCAGATAAAACGCATCAAACAAACCCAGCAAAAGTAATGAACGCATGCTGCGTTCCTAAGACACTCAGCAAGTTTCTTCCGCGGCACATACACTGAATCCACTCGCGACTCCATTTTCAGTACCTTACTGTCAGTCGAAAGAACTGACGCCAGCAAAAACAAAACTCCGAAAGCTGGATTGCCGCTTAGGCGCCAGATCACTCAGAGCTTTCAATCCATTCGCAACCCTAGAGCCCATGATGGCCTGGTGTAAGTGCGGCAGATCGAAATCAATCCAGTAAGCAACCATGCAGGCAGTTCAAAGAACAAGACATGCGCATGATGCACAGACGAGCTCAGCGGCTTGGCGCAGTGTTATTGTGAACCTGCCTGCCTTGGCAGCGAGGACGAATATTGGCACGGCCACAATCACGGCCTCGTCATCGGAATCGCGATGCTATGTGAAGTGCAGCTGCCACATCAGGGACAAAGCAACAGGAAAACAAGAGCAAGCAACCGATGTGAGCACGCAATAACCTGCAGCAAAGGCGCGGTGCAGCACAGAAGTACACGCAGCAGAGTTGGCCGCACCGTTTCGTTGTCACTGGTGAAGTAGACCTAAAATAAACAGGAAGACAGCAGCATGCACGTCCTCGCGACTCCCGTAATCTTCCGGAAGCTGTGGCACCGACGATCCACAAGGCCACATAAAGCAGCAGCGGCACAGCCATGCCAATGGGAGCTGCGAAGCGACTCAAGTCGCAGCAAGCCTCCCAACAGACTCTAAAAAAATGCTGAGAACTCTACACTGCAAAGGGCAGCACAAGCCATACCCAGCCTCATCCTCGTCTGCCAGCGGCAGTACAGAGCCCTTGCTGCAGAGAGTCGTGTATTTTGCGATTCTTTAACCTGTGTTTCAAGCCAAAACTGGCATCTCCCTGAACATGCATGACGTGCAGCTGCACTTCGAGCACTGACTGATCAGTCGGGATGCACTCACTGGTGACGAACAAGCCTTGGAGGACAAATCAAAGCATTTTCAAGCTCTCAACAAGTGTTCACGAACCTTCACTGTGATTGCATGAGTTGCGGCAGGGTTCGGAGCCACAGCAAGTCAAGAGCTAAAGCTTCGGTCAGGGCGGCGACGGTTCGCAAACGCTCTTGCTTTCATTGCGCAAACAGACAGTCTAAATGCAACTGGAGCACTAGCCGCGCTCCTCCTTGTGATGGGATGGACCGGGGTGTCCTCAACACCATCATTTCATGCACGACGACCTTTGCATCTTCGCACCTTTACATGTGGTCGACTTTTTTTGAGAAATCCAGCACATCATAAACAAAGACGCTCTGGAGCTTGGTAAAACACTAACGAATGTGGTTGCGGCTTGCCTTGGTGAACGTGGCGACAAATCCTCATCCTGGCTGCTCAGCTGCAACGTCGCAGCCCTTGGCTGCATCGTGAATGGGGGGGTGGATTTGAGGTAGACCCGGCGTGTTCTGGTGCCGTCTGGTTGCCGGAGCGGCAAGGGCGAGTAGGTTTGTGCCTCGGGATATCAGGAAGCTAGTTCTCGATCTTCCTACCTGCACGACACAACGTCAACAAAGCCTAGACAGACAGCACCAGGCACGTCACATCTTTGCAGTCTGAGAGGGCAGCAGCGAGGAAACAGCAACACCATGTGATGTGCGTTGCTGCCGGTGATGCTGGTGCTGCTCGTGCTGGGGCTTGTGAGATCGGCCTGCAAGCGAGACCTCATTTTGGAGGTGCGCTGATGCTGCTGGTATACCGGAGAGCGATTCGTGCTCGTGCTGGCCTGCTGTTCCCGCTGGTGCTCCTCCTGATGGTGTGAGTGCTGCGGTGCAGCCCTTGTGGTTCGGGTGCTCGTCACCGTCGGAGGAGATCGCGACTTCAACAGCTAAGGCAAAGGCTCGAAAGCGGAACTTTAGTATAGTAGACCACAAAAGACACAGGCGGGTCGCGGCAGAGACTTGCCAAACAAAGCTTAGCTGCCTGACTGCCCCAGGCGAAAGCAGCGCCTCCCTGCGACTGCATGGCTCCATGGGATGCATGGGCACGCAGCAGCCTGGATCGTTTGCTGCTAGGTTGTCGGTGAATGCAGCTCACGAGTCAAGGGAAAGTCTTCATAAGTTTATCGACTACTGCTTCTCTGTCATGATTGCTACATGGAGCTTGACATCTTTGATGTGGCGTTCCGAACTAGTCATTGTCATCTCTCATCTTCCACACGGGCAATTTCAGCCACGAAAAGCCACTTCAACACTCCTGCTTAACAAGCTCTGCAGAACGTGCCGCTCACTTGGACATCCTCCGGGGGCATGTCACACGCGGCCGCGCGCTGCGACCCACAGCACCTGTTGAGCAACTTTTGGTTTCGCTCCAATTGGATATTCTTAAGACAAACGCGTGTGAGATGAATAGCACTTGTCACAGCATTCGCTAAACAGTTTTCTTGTGGGATCTCTGCAGTGACATGGAAGCACTCATTTTCGAGGTCTGCCGCTGATATTGCTGTTCACTGACTCGTCGGATAGAATCTACTTGGGTTGGCTTATGTCTTGCATGATGTCAGGATGTCGAGCTTTGAGCTCCTGTGCACCCGTACCATGTTTCTGGCTCGCTAGCATGTTTACTTAGTTTGTTCGTTTCGAAGCATGTTAGGCATGTTCGCCTCTTTGTCGAGCTTCATGCTCATTCCAGGCAATGCCAGCTCAGAAAACAAAACACCGACAATGCAACAAGGTCTGTTAGGCTTCGAGCTCAGTGTGTCCCCACCAGCCCGACTAACAGCAAAGCTAGCAGCTACGTGTGCTGTAGCGAGTACCCGAAACGAAGCAACGAATGCACCCTCGACCTTTCCACCAAATCTAGGAAAGGAAACTTGATGCGGGGCTTTTCTGCTTGATGGATCCTGATCTCGCTTGCTGTTTCCTCAGGCTTGAAGTCTTCGGTGCTTCTGGGCTGTGCCGAAGCCCATCAATCGACACAACCACAGCCAACACAACAGCAACAAGTTGGCAACAAGTCGCAGAGGCGGCAACGCTGCATGCATGACCGGCGAGACTGACGATGACCACAGGCACAGCAACAGAAGTTGGTACAGATGCGACATGCCACAGGGTCTCTCAAACTTCTGATGTGCCAAGATGCCGGCCTGTTGTCTTCATGGCTCCTCGACTCGATCCTAAAGGAGCATCTACGAGAGGGCCGCGACTCGACATTGAGCCAGTGCCAGTTCAGCAAAGTCAGCGATGAGCCCAAAGGCACCTCATGCCATGCAAAATCGGTCAGGTCAATGTGGACACTGCGATGCGCAAAAACCTTTTTGCCGGCTTCTTTGTCCGATAAGTGCATGTCTGTCAGCAAAGCGTGCAGCACGAGACTCTCGGATGGAACGCCACCTCCGCCCACACAAGGATACACGAGGTATGTACCCGCGCTAGGCCCATATCAATGCAGGAGCTGCCGTAGGAAGAAGCCGATGCCTCAGATTCGAAACACTTTCTTGCTGCACATGTTCTTGCAAGGACTGAAGAGGCACAAGGCAGGAACTGCAAGAGTTAAGCAAGACTGGCATGACAAAGGACTATGGGTTTGAAGGCTGATTCGTGCCTTGGCTTCTGTACGGCTGATGTGGCCGCAACAGACAGCAGCGAATTCAAGGCCTCGAAGCATGGGTCGGCAGGACACGAAACACATCAAGTAACGGTCCGTGGGTTTATGCGACAATCGCAGGCAAAGCGTCCCAGCGAAGATGCCCACGAAATACAGAGGCCAAAGTGTATTCCAGCAAGCAGCCGGCCCCCCTGCGGCAAGAGACCCTCAAAAGGACTCTACAGAGCTGTGACCCACCTGTCCAAGCGCTGTTTCAAGCTGACCAAGGAGTCCTAGCAAGCAGGCAGCGATGTTAGCAGCGCCTGTCTGTCTAGGGTCGCAAGTTACTGCAGTCCTTTTGGCGGGAATGTGCTTGAGGGAGTTTACTTGCCTAAGATACGTCCGACTGATTTTGCAGAGAAGCAAAAACAACTTCCAGGCGACTGCCCCGAAGCAGCGGTGCGCAAAGTCAGCCTGGCCCAGGCACATTGCACAGGCTCAACAAAGGCAGCGGCAACTTCATCAAGGCATGCGGCACACACACACACACACACACACACACACACACGCACACGCACCATTTCGCCAAGGTGCATGCCACGCCAGTCGAACCTTCCACATGTGCTGGGTCCTACCTTCGAACCTTCTCCTCTGACAGAAAGCGGCCTTGAGCCTCATCAAGCGGTCGGCACGGTTCGCCAGAGCCGCCTCCTTGGCCATGGCATTGACAAGCCGCGCGAGCTGGGTGCCCGGTGTCCCTCATTGAGCCCGCAACATCCACACCGTCCCCTTCCAGCATCCTGATGGGCAAAAGATCGCAGCTTCCTGCCACTCTGAAAGGACCAGCAACCCGGCAACCCTCAACTGCTGCTTCGCCTGAGCTCTTTGGTCTGTGGCCAGGCCGTAGGAGGCTTTCTGTGCTCGGAGACCTGCGACCTCGAAGTGGAAGGCAAGGAACAGTCGGGCTCCCGAGATCGCCTTTGGAATGCTGCCCAGCGACGATCTCAGACATGCCGATGCAGCTACGAGCTGCTGGACAGCTCGTACCACTTGCTTCTGAACCAGTTTGCCGATGGATCGCTCGAGAAAGCACGCGCCTTGGCCAGGCTGAAACGCTGCAGCCTCTCTCTGACAACTTCCCCGCGTCGACCACCGAGACTTGGCCCCCTGCCGCAAAGCTGTGAGGCCCGGAACGGCGGAGTTTTAAGCCATGCCTTCCACGAAAATCAAGCGTCAGCCAATGCAGCGGCACTTCGAGCAACAGCAAGACCAACCGTGAAATCCCAGGACCTCAGCCCCATGCGAATAGGCACAAGCGGCACAAACACACCTACTTCGTGAAGACGGCAGCGCATGCTTCGCGAGCCTTCCAGGAAGTCCAGCAGCTAAGCAGCCTGCGCAGACATGGCAATGCGTTGCCCATGTCACAACGACATGCTTAAAGCTTGCCAGGGCCGCACGAAACTGGAACTTGTCACAAAGATTCATGCTTACTTCCGGCTGCTAGCATCTACTGCGCCATGCCACAAGCAATCGAGATAGCTTGAAGTCCTGCTCAATGTCACGACATCTTTTTCCCAAGGCCTGCGGCGACACCACGTTCTGCTTGCCTTGACCTCCAAAGACTCTTGGCGCGCCTTGGCTTGAGGCGACGTGGCATCACGCGTCCAGTTCTACCCGAATGCCCTGAAGCTTTTCATCAAGCATCTCGGGTCACTTGGAACCGACAATCACGATCGGGAAAACCGAGGAACGACAACGGTACTAATAGGCCACAGTTACAAAAAAAGGCCACAACACCTCTCTTGCACAACGTATCTTGCTTTCTTTCTCAGTGCAGCGGCAAGTCACCTGGCGATGCCATCGATGCAGCTCTCGCTTGAGTGCAGACCTTGATGCCCCCGTTGTTGTGGCAGCAAGGGTGGTGAGCGCACGGAACCTTCAGCCAGATAACACCCATGCCAACACAAGCACGACGACCAAATTGCAAAACAGTACACGCAATTCATTCTACGAACGCACGACACATGCGAGGCCTTGCACGCTCCACCGCAATCTCAGCGGCTGCAGCCAGCTCTGCTGAAAGGGCTGTGTCCTATTCTCCGACACAACGAAACAAAGCCCTTTGACGCAGTGAGCTGAGAACATCTTGCAAGGAAAACGCTCCAGGCCTCCCCCACCCAGGATCGCCACTCGTCCTGCCAGCATCCATGGCGAATTGCGACCAGGAAAAACTTTTTGCCACATGAGGCTGTGGCCTCAAGCCTCTGGCGCTCCCGAGACAAAGCTCGAACGATGACCTAGCTGAACCATGGATTACAGTCCACTTGTTCGATCGTCCTGTGCAAAAATACAAAACATGATTACGGACACGAAAGCCAGGCCACCGGAAGGGTTCGCCAACGCTCCCAGGCGGTGGTTCTCTGGCGCGCTGCTGCAGACTGCAGGACCTCTCAGGTACCCTTGCAGACTTGCTTCTGCGGTGTAGGTTACCTTATGCCCGAAGGGACGAACAGCAGACAAGTAAGACAATGCAGCACATGCTCCCAGGCACCTTTGCCAGCTGCCGCGCTAGCTGCGCCGCGACGTTGCCTCCGTTGGCCGGCAGCGGCTGCTGCGTGTGGCATGCCTTTCAGCAACCACTGCACACGCTCAGGCAGATTGCTGGCATGCAAGTAAAAGATGATTTCTACGATATGTCAAAAGCCTCGGCCCCATCCAGAGGATTGGTGCTCCCGCGCTCTCCGGGCTGAGCGGCTTCAACTTGGCCAGTGTGGCTTGTAACCGGGGTCTTGCTCCCACGGCCAACCTGCCAAAAGACTTTGTCTAGATTGTTGGTGCTTTGGCATGCCGTATTCTGGAACCTGTATGATCTGTGGAAATCTCGTCTGCCTTCTTCACCGAGGCTCTCATGGCTGAAAGTGCTGCAGTGAGGCCTGGCTCCTGCGAAGTGGATCTGCCGAAACCTCTTGACATGCACCTGTGGCGTCATGAAACGAAATCCGCATATCAACAAGACACCGCCAACCGCGTACATTGACCGTTCTGTGGAGAGGCAGGACGGAGAGAAGCGCGGAGGAACCAGAGGGTGAAGTGCAATGTGGAGCATTACTGGCAAACACTAAACCGCCAACAGTGCAGGAACGACAAGAAAAACTGTAAACCTTCCAAACCTGATAACGGAAACCGCGCGTCCCCCTCCAGCTTGCCGCATTCCAGCCCAGGACCCGCGGAGTTGCATAATAACATGCCTGGGCATGCCTTTCGGTACACCAGCACCCTGCAACGAGGACACCCCCGTGTACAACTCTGACATGCCTCTAAGAAAGTTCGCTCTTGGCTGACCCTCACTGCCGACCAAAAACACAGAACAGGATGTAGGCCCACATGTCATTCAATAGACGAGATTATGTGCGACCAAACTGGAAGACTTGGCTGTGACCGGCATTTGGAAACTTCATCTGCAAAACCTAACGACAAAAAGACCTAAAGACTGCTCGCATGTTGCAATGGACCTGATGCGATGCAATCCGGCACGCTGCTCTATGCAGAGCACACAAGCCACCCCACATGCAGAGAAGTCCTCGCCCGAAGGTTGCCGTTGCAGGTGTGGTGTGGATGCCTACCACCGGAGCCATTCACTGCACCATCACCGGTTGGATGCTCATGTCCGCAAACATGACGGACCCCTACATAGCAATTAACCCCAGACGGTATCTCCCAACTGATGCGCTGCACGCAACTTCATGACTGCACTTCTCACCATGCGTGCGACTGGCTTCGCATCCGACCAACAAAGCATATACTGCATGTGTAGTCCGCGGCTGCCTCACCCATCCCAATGACTGCCAGCTGCCATTTGCGAAGTGCAGCACCCTGTGCTTTGGAAACCGGTGCTCGCAGGATCTTGGTCACCATGAGGCACTCCAGCAAGCACGCCAGCAAGCACATCAAGAAGCTCGGCGCCACCGCGATTCTGAGTACGCGGCCATGCCCAACAATCTTGCAGCCGCGCGCTGCTCCCTTTTGGACACAGCTCCTCAGAAGCAAGCTTCTCACATACATCCAACACAAGGATACCACACCAGACGAGCGTCGGGAGGCTTCGCATATGGAAGGGGCATCTGCAGCAAACAGCTGCCAAAGCCCGAAATTTGCAGCCTTCAAAAGCTGGACACATGCCAATTACTCAGCGGCGTTTCGCAACAAAACAGGGTCAAGTCAAAATCCGCAAGGTCCATCTCATAGCGCCAGTTCATGTCATCATTGGTTCAATTTGCTGCTGCTTTGCATTTTCATTTCGTCCGGACCCATCGAACACTTTGTCCCTAATGGTGGTGGTCGGCCTGGCGCTAACCGCATGCATGTGATGGTTTCCGAGCTAACTTAACTGTGAAGGCGCGGTGCGCTGACGTTTTCCTCTTAATCTGCCGATTGACACCTTGATGTGGTACCTGCTCCATCTGCTCCCTCTTCCCGAACGACTTACACAATCAACCTCTCGTTTTTCTCACAAGTTCAAATCCATGGCTTGCCGTCAATTATGCAAGATTTTTCTGCTCCACTATCCATT